CAGTGAATCAGCGTTAGACAAATGAGACCCTGTCTGTCCAATAGAGGCCCTGCCAGAGTTTATACTGGGGAACCGTGCCAGTCTCCTCACAGTAGTCCGTGTTCAAGAGTGGAACATGGATCCTACATCACAAAACTGCAGCTGAATTTTGTAAATGGAGTAAGAATAACATTTATTTTTTCAGCTGACAATTGTATGTAATGTATTGTTGCATTTAGCGCCTGACGTCAGGTCTTCCCTTTTGTACTGGAGCTGCTTGATTAAACTCTTTCTATCTCTTTTTTTTTTCAGTTAGGACAATTTTCTGCATCATTTTGCTCTTTTACATCTGTTTAACACTCTTTTCCTCTCCGGTGGTATTTGTATTCCCATCACTGCCCTTTCTGCAGGGTGTGTGGTTTTTGTAGTATGAGGAACAACACAGACTTTTTTCCCCTCATTATCTTTCCTTGACAACGTGTCATTTCCTGATTAGCATTCCCTGTTGTTGTTATTATTTTTTTCCCCGTCAGAAACACTTTGTCTGGTCAAATCTGCATATATAGATACTAACAATTAAAGATAAATATATGCTTTTAGTAGTCATACATAAATGAACTCTCATACAGTTTATAGTGAAACAGAATAATGTCCATCATTGTCTCTGTGTTACATCACTGAGCTGTCTGAGGAAGCCAGCCATCTTTGTTTTTGCCACAGTTTGTTGGTGTGATTCATGTGTTTCATTGACACAGAGGTAAACACACACACAGAGAGAGGGAGGGGCCTGCCTTCCTCTGATTGTATCTTTCCAATCTGGCAAAATATCAAGGGGAGATGGGGGTGAGGGGGAGAGGTAGTACTGCATAATGTCCATTCATAGAGTTTCCTGACTTGGGTTGGCACAGCACACAATCTGTTGGTATAGAAACAGGAGTCTAGCGAGTCTGTTTGGCCCTGGGAATGAGACTGAAGGCCAGAGGACGCAGGGTGAACATTTTTATAACGCTGCTCTAGAAAATAAACTTGTTCCAGTAAACCACAGTTGTTAATGGGCTATTTCTGCACTGAATGGGATTTTTTTTAAAACTTTTACAAGAGCCTGCAATAGAGTGCCATTATATGACAGTAATCTAAATAAATGAAACTTATTTTAATCACAGGACTGAAAACGTCCATTTTATGTTACCACGTTGGCACGGTTGAAATAGTACCACATAAAACTTGTCATCGTCTTCCTCCAATACTGATGTGCCATTGACAAAAATGTCCTTCTTGGTTTGAATCTGTAAATAGCAGAAGCAGCTAACGTAACAAACCAAACACTGTCAGCAACTCCTGTTCCTGCTAAATAAAAAAAATAGCTGTAAATTAACCAATTGATATAACTTTCTTATTTACTCAGGTAAGACATTAGTCAGTGTCTTATGTACTTATTTGGAGCCACTAACTCATTAAGGGTGGATAAATCAGCCTGTGGGGTTTGTGTGTGTTGTCAGCGACTTGTTTTTGAATTCTTGTCTGACAGTAAACAACAGGTTGTTGTTGTTGTTTTTATCTGAACATAATCACGTCAGGCCCTGCAGACGAGATTTTCACCGTGTATCTCACAGCATGTGAACTTGGTGTGGATTAATGAACACTGGGCCACATACAGTGATTGGACCAATCTATTCATCAAACCCATCTGCTGTGCAGAATAACAAGAACTTCTACAGGGTCTCATCGTCTATCCCCCCACAGCCAATGGCAGTGGAAGACTTTTGAAGTTCACTCATACTGAACAATGACATTCTTTTTATTACTATTGATTTAATAATGTAGAATATCAAAACTCTACATACATACTGTTCGTATATGTGTGGGGCCGTTACAGTAGTTACTAGTGACTCAGATGCTTTTAATTAGTAGTGTGTCTATATGTAAGTAGGTGTTTTTACTGAAATAAATTACAATAAAAGTATTATAAACGCACCTCTCTAGGGACGTCTCCAAGGGAATATTTTGCCTAATGAGATTATTAAAATACTGAAAAATAAAAATTATAAGTCTTTGGCCATTGTATTTGTTGTCAAAGTTCTGTAAATAGTTAGATATAATATCATAATATAGTCTTTAGTCATTTGCAGAAAGTTCTGTAAATAGTTAGATATAATATAATATAGTCTTTAGTCATTTGCAGATCTGCACAGACACAGTTACTCAGGACACTGCCACAGTGTCTGTAACTTCGACCAGTCAGTCAGTCTGTCAACTCTCCATTCTCTCTCAGTGGAGTTCTTCCAAGATCACTCTCTTAACAACATCAACAAGTCGGTCTTGGTGACGTCTTTGCCAGAGACAAGTCATTTAGAATGAAAACGGATGTGTGGATGCTCCACACTTCTAGGAAAAGTTGACTTTTCAAACTTTTCTGAGACAGAATCAGGTTCCTGTTCGTTGTCATCATTTTGTTAAAACGTCATGAAGATTGTTTTAACTTTACTCTACTCTACTTGTCACCTCATTCTGCAAAAAAAAAAGAAATCCTGTCTATTGTGGTTCATTATACACTGTGGTTTTATTTAAATCTCTGCTGTGTGTTTTGCCCTGCAGCTGTACATACGCTGCTCATTCATCAGTGATATGTTGATAAAGTGAGGATTTCATCTTTAATAGTCTCCCCAGTAATCTCATGTTTGATGCTCCACGTCACTGATGTAAAGCTGGGTTTTTTATGTGAATTGCTAATTCTTTGGTTCTATACATTAAGGCCTGTCAGGTCTTTGTGAGGGCCTGTCGAAGTCTGCGCCTGGTTTGTACCTATTAGAATTGCTAATCAGATGCTAATGCCTGTGTGTGTGTCAGAGTTGCGAGTTAAGGCAGCTACAGAAAGGAAATCAGTGTGGAGTAGACCTACAAAAAGACAAGGCTGATTATTGAAGGCTTCCTTTTTAAGCACAGGCCCAGATTCAAGGATTCACTTCAACAATATCTTCTGGAATGTCACTTGTCCTCAATACAACAGGAGTAAGATCATTTCTGTCATGTTTTACTTCAAGCTTTTGTTTTTCTTAGAGAATTAACACAACACTGGCTCTGTAATTAGGCAGACATTGAGATTTCACCAAGTTTAACCTTCCACATCTGTTCACAGTTAATTCAATGAAATGTTTCAATGAGCTCCAGCAAACTCACAACCACTTTTTTCCACTGGCGGTGGAACAACTCTTGGCTTGTCTGCTCATTAGAATAAGCTGTTTACATGTTATGTGGGTGTGTTGTTCTCGGTGTCTCAGGTCAGCCTGCCTGATGGTTACATAAGGCAGCAGATGGCATTGTGGCCCTGGGTGGAGAGATAAAGGCACGTCCACAGTTAGGGTCAACTGCGAGGGCAGATGTAACGTCTTGCCGGACACAAGTTTGACACCGTTCGTCAGTGTACTCTCAATCATGTGCCTTGTTTTGTCTCAGACTGAAGCATGAAGTCAGTCCAGCGTTTGTGTGCTTCAGAAACCTGTTGCTGGTTATTTTGTAACGTGACACTGGGTTTAATCAAAGCACTTGAATGATCAGCGATAGGCCATTTAAGCCTGATGCTGAATCTAAAACAGCCGTACTAAAAGGTCTGGCTGCCACTCTGAGCTCAGTTGGAATCAGAACCCAACACATTATGCTGCTCTCTACCTTCAGTCTAATGAGTTCAGCTGTAAAATAATGGAGTCAAATTGGTCCATTTAAAGTCTCCATTGCTCCCTTTATTGCCATTTGGAAAGGCATTAAATATGTTTGGGATATAAAACAAGATCAAGTGACACCGTGACAGGTGTGTTTCTGGGCTGAGGTTGTTCAGTTTGTCCTGTACTGCCTGTTTTTATTCAAATTTTATTTAATCTCTATTATTGTTTGATGTTATGCCAAGTTTCAGGGCTGTAGAATTGGAGTTTGGGTCTTTTTTAAAGCCGTGCCACAATGGATTATTTGCCTCCATCTCTACTTGGTTTTCCTGCTGTCACACCAAAACACTCCATAACCTTCCAAACTCATCCTTAAGCCGTTTTGTCTTTTGCTCGACGTAGGATTCAATCTGCTCTGTTCATTTGAAAGTTATCAGTCACTGCAGATTGAAGACAATATACTCCAACTCCTGCTTTACCCTCACTTCACTCCACTTGCAAGTGGTGCTCGTTTTTTTAACCACAGAATGCAAATATAGTGCATTTATCACCATTAATTGACTCTATTTAAAAAGGTAGCCCAAGATGTGGTGGTCCAGTGGCAGGCTGTGGCCCAGATCTGGGCTGTATCTGGGCTGTATCTGGAGCAGACTGCTTAGTATTTACTTTAGGTATTTAGCTTTTTTTTTGTTGTTGTTGGACCCTTCTTGGTATTTAAACTCTTTTGTATTTAAAGTCTTGCACCTCTTCACCTGCCCCACTCTCATACCAACACACTCAGCTTAAGTTTGAACCACTTTTTGCTAACGCTAGCTTCCGTAGAGTTAATTACAGCCATCAATAATGACTCTGACACTGCCAATTTGAATTCCTCCGAGCTTTGTCCCAAACAAAGTTTCCAGTCTGTCACTTTGTGTTTGGAACATCGTACATATAAAAAAAGGGAGACTCGTTTTGACTGGTATCCAGCCATGTATATTTTCAGAGAACATTTAACGCACACGGTCCTAATTTGCTCGTCTTAGAAAAACGTCGTCAGAGACAGAAAGAAGAAAGAACACTTCCATCCATCTCAATTTGCACACTGTTGGCGTCTCCAACTCGTCTCCAGCCGGTGAAATAACATGTTCTGCCATTATTCCCTGTCTTTTTTCCTTTCCTCTGCAAAGATTGTGTTACACATATATATCAGGTGACCATTGTGGTGGTTACCAATTAACCCCAGTGGCAGCTGCCTTCAAAGCCTCAAAGGCTGTTTTTTATTTGGTCTCCAGAATGTTAAAGTGATCCACTGCCAGCAGGTAATGTAATCCTGGGGCCACTTTAAAAGTGTTAACAGTTTTCTCCTCTCCTGCTCTCTTTCAGGTGTTTCTTCATCGCCTCAACCAGTACGCTGCCACCAAGCTGGACAAGAACATCACAGAGGAAACAGTGAAGGTGGGGGTCAACCTGCGGGGTGTGGGTCTGCATATTTAAGACATGGAAAAATATCAGGGGCAATTGACTTTTACCGACACTGCACGTAAACCCTGTGTTCACGGAGCAGCTTGAACCATGAAAGAGCCGGAAATTTACTCGGGGGAGCTGAATAAACTGATACCCATGTTTGGAGTTGGTGTTTAAACCCAAAATAGTCAAGTATGGAGTGAAAAAAGAAGCAGTGGGCGACAGAGGAAGCAGCTGAAAATATAATCTATTTACAAAGGATTCTGGCTGTAGGATGAAAAAAAAAGGATGCGCTCTCACAGTGGGAGTAACTCTCTGACTGAGTTTGCTTACACTCAAAGGTAAACACACATCCAATGGATATTTACTGCCCGTCCTGTGTCCTGTGATTTGGAGTCCGTCCACTAATGCTATGCTTTATTTGGGAACAGGCTGTACAGAGTGGGTTTTAGATAACAAGACTGACAACAGACTGTGGCGTCACCGAGGCAGCTACGTAAATGACATCCAGTCCCTAAGAGTGAAAATGCACATTTATTCCTCCCCTCTTCCGAGTATCTCTAAAGATTTCGTAGACCCCACAAGCTCATAAAAGACTTTTGGTTTCCTTTCTTTTAATTTCACTAGCTTCGTTCTTCATCCACTGTCAGCATATTGTTTTATCCTTTGTAATACCCACCACAGAATGGCATGACCGGGTACAGAAGTCAGCACCACATGAAGACAACGCAGCCACCCAACAGATCTTAAACTGCGTCCTATTTTTAGCAACTCTTTTAAAATATCTGCAGTGATGTTGGAAATCCATATATCAAAGACAATCCCGGCAGAGATCCACATTACAAAGAAACCTCATCCCTAAATCTGTGGCCACAGACGTTTTTTCGCCTTGTGACACCAACCCACAATAAAGCAGCAAATACGGAGAAATTGATCTTAGCAGCCATAAAAAAGTGTTGACACATACAAAAAAACTATACTGTAGTTGCAATGCTTGGTTTTAATTTGTTTTGCTTTTTGTGTGTCCTCTAGGTTTTATTTTCCAACATACAAGAGATTCTGGCTGTTCACAAAGACTTCCTGTCCATGGTGGAGGAGCTGCTGCAGCCTGACCCCCATGCTCATCATGAAATTGGGCGATGCTTCTTGCACTTTGTAAGAAACATGCGTTTTAGCAGAGATAATTAGCCTGAGCTCAAATGACAGTGCACTTAGAGCTTAGAGTACGAGTTTTCTTAATCCTTCTAGATTCCCACTGTAAAAGAGGAGTTCTTTTTTGGCACTGGGTTACTCATCTGAACACATCATTGTACAGCGGTGGTACCTCAGTTCACGGGGACAATAAATGTCACCTGTCGGGGATTTAAAGCTGGGTTTGAATTTTAAAAGACACTTTTAAAAAGACAAAACCATTACTGTCACATTGTCTTATGAAGCGACAATTCATGTGGCAAACCAAGGATCAAATGATCACAGAAGACATGTGCTTTAGTTTTTTTCCCTTAACTCATAATGGTTAGGTTGACTACATCAGAGACTGTATCAACTACTGGCAGTGAGTCCAAGCTCGTCCACCCTAGTAGTAAAGCTCCTGGTCATTTCAGGTGTGTCCTCTCATCACCTCTGACTTTGTCCTACCTAAGCTCTAAATAGACCTGCAGTGATTCCTCCTCCTGCAGTCATATACGGTAATGCTCTTTCTACTGGAGTCTACTGGCTAGGAAATCTCTTTCCTGTGCAGACACAGTATTTCTAAAATGAGGAGATGTGCCACATGTTATCAATTCATCTCCCTGGATTAGCCATGAAGAGAGCGTGCACATGTGCGATATTCATGATAGTGCTCTGATATACTGCTCCTCATCCTTATATTTCACATTTCTGAGAAGCAAAGCCTAGAATCATGCTGGCATGTAATAGGCTTCAAAGTCCAGTAAATCTCACCGTTTTCAGGTTGAACTTTCCAGGCTAAGGCTGATACAGGTGAAAGACGTCAGAGTTATTAACACAGATGTGACCTCGGTTCATGTAAGGATGAGGGCTGTAAGAAAATTTAGAGCGTAGCTAAACACACTGGACCCAAATATAGTTGTCGACAATCATGTGAGACTGCTTCAGATTTTGCTGCTATGCTTTTGAATTATTTCTCTCTGCTGGGATTTCAAATTCATGGAAAGAATAAACCAACTGTTACGAGACAAAAACACAAACAAATGTACTAAGCCTTGTTGTGGCTATTGAAGAGCTAATCTACTGATATATGTAGCTATATCTAACAGCAGATTTCTGTCAGATCATTGATGTTCAGTCAGATCAAATTGTGTGTATTTTAGCTTATTTTGTTAGTTGAACTAAAGGCTAATTTTCAGTGTGTTCAGTCAACTTGTGCTTATTTCTGGGCAAACCCTTTATTTGTTTATTTTATTTGTTAAATAAATGATGTTTCTACAACTGTTAAGATCTGGTTGATAGTTTTGCTAATTTTCTAAAGCTAAATCTAAGCCTTTTGTGAGATTTTGGTTAATTTCGAGCTAACCTTTATTGACATTCTTTTTGGTCTTACATTTTTTGTTATACTGTATCTTTGGTTATATATTTCATTTTTAGTTGCTGTATATAGTTTCTTTTTTGTTTTTAGCTGTGATTGTTATTTCTTTTTTTAAATTGATTTATGGTTTAATAGCTTTTTTGTTGGTTCCAGTCATTTTTTTGCTTCAGCTCAGTCAGTGTGAAATGGTTTTGTTGACCTCTGATGTGTGCCAGCTAGTTGTTACTCTCTGTTAACATTCTAGCCACATTATTCCTACCTGTTACCCGACACCACTTTGATTGTCGGCCATTGTTGTGTTTCCGCCGCACGTCTGCTTGTTGTTATGGCGGTGGTGTCACTCCACATCACACAGCTTTGTCTTCTGCGGCAGAGTGCCATGGCAGCAGACCATGTACTGTGTTTGCTGCTCTGACTGACTTTGTAGTGAGTGATTTATTAAGGTTGTGTGGTTGGGCTGTGCTGCTGCTGCTGCCTTTCAAAGACAAAGGGAGATGAATGTCATGAGAATTGGTTTAGTGGAAAGTGGTCGGTCATATGGCTGGCAGGGTTATGTTGGGAAGGAATTTTTAGCCCCCCCCCCCTCCCCCTCGCGCA